TACTGTGCCCAAGATCACATAGCTCAGAAGGGACCGGGTGAGGTTCCACTACAGATCTGCTGGTGTGTGGGTGGCACCTGAGCCGCCACGTGCAATCACACAGAACAAGCCAGGAACTTCTCAGTATGTGAACATCCTACAAAACGGAGGAATTCTTCAGGTTCACGTCCCAGGAGAAAAGCAACTCAGTCAAAAGTTATAAACCTCTGAAACTCTCCATGTGTTTCCAAATTGCCTTCCAGCAACATGTACCAGTCTTCAGTCCCACTAGCATGACAGGAAGATTCCCATTTTATTCCAGAAAGTCGAGTTTTGGGGAACATTGCTGAGAGAGCTCTGTCAATGTGGGGGAAAGCCCTGAGGGGTTCTGGAACCAGTGTTATGGGCAGGCTATGGGCAATGACCAGACTCCATTTTACCCCAAGACTCCACGTCATGTAAGAAATCCTTCTCCCACGGGAACACCCCCGCCCCGTACCTCTCAGTAGTCTTAGGATAGCAGGTTTGGCTACACAAAAGGGCAATTCCCCTGCTGCTGGAGAAAACCAGCCTCTTCAGGGAAAGGAAGTTGTGACTCTGAGTTGCTGGGATGACAGAGGAGGACACCACCACACCCACGGTTATGGCTGTTCATTCATTCTTTCAGCAAATATTTATCGGACCTGTAACACAGGAGGGCTACTGTGCAAAACAGTGATTAAAAAAAAAGTTGCAAAGAAAAAGAATAATAACTCTGTTACTAGAGATACAATTGTAACAAAAAAAGGGGGGGTTAATGGGATAGTCAGATGAAATTTGTTAAGCACCTTCTAAACTTCACAAGGAATAAAAACATGCCCACGCACCAAACTAAACAAAAAACTGGAAATAAAAGAAAGAACAGTGAGGAGAGAAGTGTGTAAAACATCAGAGACTGAAACAACATTAAGCCTGGTGAAGGAGCACACCCCTGTGATCCCAACAGCTCGGAGGCTGAGGCAGGAGGATCCTTAGTTCAAGGCCAGCCTCAGCAACTTAGTGAGGCCCTGTCTCAATAATAATAATAATAATAATAATAATAATAATAATAATAATGGCT